TTTCCACTGCTCAGCGTTAGACTCCGACATACGCCACTCTTCAGAATGGCGTATAGCACTTTTCAGAATGGTGTAGGACACATTTCAAAATGGTAGAGGACACTTTTCAGAATGGCGTACAGCACTTTTCAGAATGGCGTACGACGATAGAGTCTTGCACTAAGCGGTAGACTTGTGTCCTTGAGAATAAAAGTGGTCTACGAGATGTGTACTTTTGGTACAAAATTGACAAATACTCTACCATTAAATACTGTTTAGTCACATCTATAAGTTAGGTACATGTATAATTTCTGAGCAGTTATTTTGAAAAAGTTTTGCAGTAAGTTGGACACAAAATTTAATTCACAATTCGAATTTTCTTGCGAGCAAAAAATCCCCACTTTCTTAAAACTGCTGAAAGTTGAGTAAGGCCATTCTCTTTCCTCAAGAGCACATGTCATATCTGGAAAACTTCTCTTAGACATCTCGAAAGTGGCACTAGGTAGTCATATGCTGTGGAGATACAACTAATCACAGTAAAGCAGCTCAAAATTCTTGATAGAAAATTAGAATTGAATCTAAATAAAAAGTTGACATTTCTTGAGATGGACAGTCGTAGAGTTCACTGATCTATTTGGTGGGCTGTTGCCGCATATGATCACACACAGTGACATCTCCCTCCGAGAAAGCACAATAAATATAATATATATATATATGTGGGACTTGATTCTCCAACTGTCCTTCCTGTCATTCATTCAACATTCTGTGGCCAGCAGATCTCCGAAAAAAGAGGAGAACTCTCCAGGCTGCAGAGTTTCACACAGACTCTGAGATTTTTTTTTAAAAAGCTCAGAGGAAAGGGACCATCCTGTGTGGAGAATTCACAGAGTTTCGCAGGTACTGCTAGAACTTTTTATACATTTATAAAACGATACAACTTTTGCTATTAATGCTCGTGATTGGCACCCATGCATACTACTTCTTTGGAGAAGTAAAAATCCCCTTTAAAAATCCCCCCAAACTCCCAACATTTTGCCATATGGCGGCAAATCGAGAGGAGCGAGAGAGCAATAAGTCTTGTTGTCTGGAGAGAACAGTGGATTCCTGCTCCGCAAGCACAGATATGAAGAAGTAAAACAGGCCTCTTGTAGAAACGAAGATAGAGAGAAGGAGTGTGGAAAAACAAACTTGTGTCCACAGTCACACCTACACCTTCCACTGTTCAAAAAACGTTTTTCTTCCGGGTAGGTACAACTTTCTTCATCCCGTCATTTCACAGGTACACGAAGAATCACTTGATGCCCTCTTCTAACAAACACACACACACAAACTGGCACACAAACTAATTGCCCAATGTCCATCACACAGCCAGCACACCTGGAGATTTTCTTTTGGGATGTTCCAAACTTGACACAGTCGTGAAATCGATTCTAGGCAGACAGACCTACAGAGAATCAGATGGACAGACTAATGCCCAGAGCATCTCAAATCATCATGATCAATAGATCAAAAACTTTTGGTTTTGGACATTCTGAAAATGAGAAAACTTCGAAAACACAGACAGACTAATGCCCACAGCGTCTCAAATCATCATGATCAACAAGTCAAAAACTTTTGGTTTTGGACATTCTGAAAATGGGAAAACTTCGAAAACAGTCGCGGTCCTTACCCAGAGCACAGGCCAGAAAAAAAAACAGCCTTCTTCCAGCAAATGATCAGACTGACAGACCCTCGGTGTAATGCTCTAACAGTGTGGGAACA